TCTTCCCATCTCACCCCTAAGATTCACTGAGCAGCTGTCTAATCTTGGAGATTATCTGATGATCTGGAGATCATTAGAGATCATGTGCCTGACCTCACGTACTGCCTACAGTTCAGCATTCTGCGCATGCCAGGAGCCACCCTCTCTGAGTAACTGAGAGTGATAAATCCTGCCTAAAACACAGCGAGACTCCAAAGAGTGCCAGAGTAGTGCCTTAGTCCCCTGAGAGGCTTGAACTGGCACTTACCTAGAGATCAAACACCTGCTCAAGGATAACTGGAAATTCAAGACGAAGTGAGCACAAGTCAGACCCATTTTCGCCCCTAGGTACAGCCAGTGTCTTTCTTACTCTGACCTACTGAGTTTGTTAGTGGAGCTCAGATCACCACCCTCCAAATACTTCTTTTTGGTCCATAAGATTTTTAGGACATTATTTTTTTCCCAGAGAAAATAACATGTAATGACTACATGATCTTATCTGTTGGAAGCATTTTTGTTACACATTTAGGTGATAGTATTACCTGAGGAGTATTAATTACCAGAATCAGACAAAATTATAGTTTACTTTTGATCTAATAACGATCTCAGTCCTCTCCTACTTTTCCTCTGATTCTGAAGCCACGTTAAAGTTAAATGTAACACCTTCTTTTCTTTTTTAAATCTGCATTCCTGTTTCTCCCCTGCCCCCTGCCAGGCAGCACTGTTGACTCTGTGTAATAACGTGGTGATCTGTCCAACTGACTGACTTATTTCTTAATGAGGCCTTGCAATTTAATACATTTAATGGTCATAATTAGGGATCATGAGACTCTTGAGACTAATGTCTGTGTGAGACATTTTAATCAGCCTCACAAGTTGTTGTAAGTGTAGCATGGCCCTCTAGTTCTCACCTAACAGTATTTTAAAGGCCAGAAATTTCTGTAGTGCCTTTTGTACCATAACTCCTGCCTGTGTATCACATTCATCTTGCTCCCCTGTGGACTGTACCTGCCTTCCTTTACCTGTTTAAGTTTGCAGGCTTTCTGGATGAATGGACAAACCTTTATAGCAAGCAGACCATGTGCAGGTGTTGAACAGTGCTCATACTGCAGCCAGGTTTCTCCAGCCTGTGCTGCTGGGATCGATCAAACACTTCGGTTCAAACTCTGTTAATAGTTTGTAATAACAGTGGACTGAATTCTGGTGTCTAATATTTTCTAGCAGGACTCAAAATGTTACAACAGACCAGGAAAAAAGGCTCCTTCAGCAACTCCGAGAAATTACTAGAGTTATGAAAGAAGGAAAATTCATAGATGGCATCTCTCCTGAGAAGGAAGCTGAAGAAGCTCCTTACATGGAGGACTGGGAAGGTAAGCAAGAGCCTTCTTACCATTACCCTGATGAGAAAAATTGGATAAGGATTACTGATAGTACCAGATCCTCTCAAAGTTTTTGTTAACTCTGTCCTTCCTTTTCAGAAGTCAGTGTTCAAAAATCTGCAAGAGGTGGCTTGTTTTCCCAGCCATCACAGAAAGAAAATCGTTTTTGAGGCATCCAACATTTCCTTTAGTGTAAACACTGCACTATCTGCTGCCAAAAGTGGCATATAAATACTCACATATGCTCTGTCTGCTGCTCATTCCTGGCTGCTGTAGGCTTATATCTTTCCCTTTCTTTGCTGGGCTAGCTTTCATGCAAAGTCGTAAAATCCTTGGCAATCAGAATCACTATGTTTTGGATAACTTACAGCTTTTATTTTTGATTAATTGTTCTTTGCTCCAGTTTTGTAAAAGTTATTTCCAGGATGTCTGTCTTTTAAAAACTCTTTATTTTAATATCTTTTCTGTTCCTTGGTGTGTACTTGTTACACAAATGTGTTTTCAAGACATCCTGGTTGAGCTACTCACTATCAGAATTTTAAATGCAGACTTAATCCACAGCTCTTTGAGAACCTTTCAAAAATGTTCCAAAACATAAAGCATGAACAGTGGCTTCGAGGTCTGCTTTCTTAAGTCAAGTTCATGATGCATTTTCTAAAACTAAGTGCATAAACTCATTGACTTATATCTGGATATTTCAACTTTAAAAATCATGCTGTTTATAGCAAAAGTCTTCAAAACATGAATCAGTCAATTTGTAGACAGAAACAAAACCATGGATCTATTTAATGGTCTAAGAAGACACGCAGTTTTCACAGGTTAGCTCCCATAGCTTTCAGCAAAGCTCAGATTTTCACTCCTGAAAGTCAGGGTGGATAGGGACCAGGTTGATAGGGACCAGGTTGCCAGGACCAGTCAGGTCCTGGCTCCCTACAAGTAAGTGGAGTTCTCTAATCATCTCCCAAGAAGTCATGTTTTGCACATTCTTGGCATGGATTTAATACTGTGACGTATACACAGCATTAAATAGATGACACATATACTGTCAGTGCTAAAAACAACTGTTCTAACAAACTTGTGCATCCATCGCTTAAGTTACTACTACTTTTAAATGCTGCCTATCACTTTATTCCTAAGGGTATCCAGAAGAGACCTATCCTGTCTATGATAATTCCGATTGCTTCAAGCGCAAACAGGACACAATCC